CCCCAAAACCCCAAAACCCCATGGACCCCAATATGACCAGATTTAATAGTAAACCTAATTAAAAATTAATAATTTAATTAAAAGGCTCAGTAAAACTCTTTAATAAAGTTAAACTAATCAATTTAAAACTTTTGCTGAAAGTTTCGAGTGCCCAACGGCTAAAGCACTTCCCAACGGGCCTAAGGGTCTTTAAGGGTAAGAGATGATCAGAACTAATTTTTAAGTAGATTAATTTGATATAATTTTCAAGAAAATCGAGGTAGTAGAACCTTCTCTCATGGCTCAAGATTTTGGCTGAAAACTCATGAATTATGTTTTCTCAACTCCAGTTGAATGAGAAATGCGAACATTGACAAATGCGCAAATAACCTAAAGTGATACATAAATGACCCTATATCACTATTTTAGCAGTCTCAAAGTGTCCTAAATTGAATTTGAGGTGCCAAAAAGTGTCCCTTTGGGTAGCGGAAAAGTATTAGGAAGGCTGACTTTTTTGCGATTTACTGTTCCGTCAGACAGCATGCCCAATTAGTTTTAAATTGAAATGGAAATGGCGGGCTCAAGCAACTGACTATCGACTGTCCAAGGTATGAAACAAAGACAAATCGTACTTCCAAGCGAATTTATGGCTCATTGACATGATTGTTGAATTTATGAAACAGAGGAAAAGGAAACAACAGTGTATGCTAAGTTTGTTAGCGATAATTACTTTTAAACTAAGATTTTTTCACTCATAACCGCACTGTTGTTGCTACCGTAAGGGCTTATTGCCTGAGTGGGTGTGCCTCTCAAAGCTCTCTTTCCTTTGTATGTAGTGGTTGCTGTCTCAGTGGCCATCTCCAATCTGTCACTCTGACGGCTGTGGTGTCTGCTCAATAGACCCTTGTTTCTCTTCTGACAACTATGGTACTAGCGCGTTTGTTCTTTTGCTGCCCATTGACCCTTAATAAGATGTCTTAATTTGCCCTGTTGTGGTATTGTTGTCTTGTCTTGTTGGTGCTGTCTTGCTAGCTGCTGGTGTTTTCTTGCTTGTAGCCGCTGGTGTCTTCTTGCTTTGATCTGCTAGGTCTGTTACATTAATCTGTTTCATCTGGATGGTCTTTCTGGATAGAGCTTATAAAAACTTAGATGCGTTGAGTTTGTATACAAGCTCGGGCTTTGGCGTCTATCAGGCCCACGTCCTGAAAGGCGACTCTATGGCATTTGTCAGTGAACCTACCCACTCTATAATAGCCCTATATTGCTTCGCTCTTGTTCACAAATGACTTAGCTATTAACGATGATATCAGGATTCCATCAGCAGAGGATCTATAGTCAAGGCCTCTCATGGAAGCCGTTGTGAGAGCCACCGCAACTCTGAACTTGCCATTAACTTTCACGCCAAGGGTTCTCAAGATCTGATGGTTCACCTTCTCATCAGCCTCTATCAGCTCTAGATCAAGCTTCTTAAGTTCATCATACAATGTAGGGGTACCTCCCCACTGTCAGTATCACCATCTACAACATTCGTTGAAGTCGTAATAGCAAGTAGTAGTAGTAGTCTTAGGCTACCTTCATTGTGGTGGCAATTTGAATGCTTGAGATCTCAATTTGAACTGGCGTTTCTCTTTGGCCTTCTTGCCACAGACCTTACAGATGACCATTGGATCCCTTTGAGAAATATGGTCCTATCTCTTCCGTAGAGCACTCACTACACACATAGGAAGACTTCCCTGCAGCTTCCTTATGAGATGCAATTGACTTAGTCTCATCTATATAGAAGTTAAGAATCAAATAGGAAAATAGAGGCGGTCGCAGGAAAATAGAGGCAGTGGTATACTTACTCTTTAAACAGTGTTTACAGTCAGCACCAGTGCATAGAATTATCTAAGGGCTCCTCAGCTATTCTAGCACTCTTGTCCCAGAAGGTCTAAAAGCGGTAAATTAGTGAAAACTCACGAAATTTAGAGTTGGCCAGCTGCTGGGTTGGTGTTTATGAGAAAGAGCCGCAGATAAAACATAAACTTTACAAAGCAGAGCTTGAAATATGACAAGATACATTTAATAGTGAGAGAAAATGTAACTTTTAAGATTAGACATATTTATAATTTTAGCAATTTATGAAGATTTATTGAGCCAATTAAGTTTATTTATCACATCTAAGAGGTGAAACCATCGATTGCATGGCATTGTTTCAAAAACTTATGAATCAATGAGCAATAACTCCCATCTTTGGGATGATGTCAAAGAGAGACTTAGCCTCAGTGCTGTGACCACTCTTTTCAAAGACTTCGTCAATCGACTATCCATAGTATGGTGCAACCTACTTTTCTGCTCCTGGGTGATACCAGTAATCTGAGACGTCGTAAACTTGCTCACTGTAGATAACCCACTTCAATTAGTTTTACATTACGTAGTCATATACCTCTTCTGAGGTTTTAAACTTTATCAGGTCTGCTTGGGACACAGCTTGCTGCATTGGTCTTTCTTCTTAAGATATTAAAAATAATTATATTGTTTAAAGTGGATCCAGTACTAGGACTGTTAAAATGATTGAGTAGCTCAGTAATATTAAATTTCTTAACGCAGGATGATATTAAGGTTTTTGCTTGATTTACTACTCCTAAATCTAACTAGAGTTAGTTCATGGGGTTTTGGGGTTTTGGGGTTTTGGGGTTTTGGGG